GGACATAAAAACAAAATAAACTTCTAATGTTTTATATAAAAAAACATTTATTTATGTTTTCTTTTTCATTACAAGAATTGTACTAAATAATAGCAAAGAAAAAAATATCACTTTCTATGTTAGTTCAAACTAAAAAGAATATTTAAAATATTAAAGAGTGCATTTAAATTCCTGCAAAGCTAAAAATAAGTTTTGATTAAAGCTCAATCCGACCTCATAAATGGAACTTATTATGTCATTTGTTAAGCGTTCGCTCGTGGTTCTGTGGAGCAGCGACTGCTTTGGTGGCCCAGCACAAAAAGAAACATGGAGTCTGATCTTTAGAGGGAACAGGGAGAAAGAAAGCAAGTGGGAGAGAAACAGAAAAAAGAAACGAAGATGGAGGGGGAGCGATAGAGTTGTGTTACTGGGCCACTCCAGCACCCATGGACACTCAGCAAGACTCAAAGCCACACTCTGCTTCAAAAGGGAGCCGTGAAGATTTATTTTTTTTAATGCTTACAAAAAATATTTATTTATTTCTCATCACTCTCCCCTATTTATCTACATAAATCTTGCTTTACTGCTAAAATACTGTTGATGAAGATGCCATGCGTGCCCTCCCCCTCGTCTTTTTATTAATACCACAGCAGTCAAAAATCAAACTGCTCTAAAACAAACTGATGTTCTCTTTAATATAGTCTTCACATCATAACGGGGTCCTCGTGGTGGCAACTGCAGGGCTCGTAGTTTAACTTGGCAACCGATCCCACCTTTTAGGTAGCTTCAATGATTTATCTTAAAAAAAGAGAGAAATTTTGGGAAGAGAGACAAAAAATATTGCAAGAATAAAATAAGAAAAATCCCCAGGATCGCGGCTGAGTTACTGCAACCTTTGATAGACGATGTCTAATCATATAGTCTCCATGCCAATAAAGCTGACAGCCTTAGGTAGTACTATCAACTTGACATAATGTGAACTTTGAGCTAGTTTGTGCCCCCTGGGGGCCAAGACGTGGCCCTTTTTGCTTATCTAAACAGTGCTGAAATCAATTCCTAATAAGCTGCATTCGTTGGGCAGGTTGGTTATAGGCTTTTAGACACCAAGAACTATTAGCTAGGAGGTCTTTTGTTGCTATCCACCTTTTAAAACAGCCTGGCAAAGCTTTCATCTGCCTTCGTCTATGTCAATTTTAAATAATGCTGCTTAATGGGAGTTAGTAGGAGAGATCATATCGCTCCAGTTTTAGCTTCTCTCCACTGGCTCACTGTCAAATTCAGAATATAATTCAAAATCTTACTTCTAATCTGCAAAGCTCTCAACAACCTAGCTCCATCTTATATTACAGATCTTACTGTCCCATATTTTCCTAACAGATCACTTTGCTCTAAGGCTGCAGGCTTACTTGTGGTTCCTAGAGTTTCCAAGAGCAGAATGGGAGGAAGATCTTTCAGTTATCAGGCTCCTCTCTTGTGGAAGCAACTTCCAGTTTCTGTCTGTGAGACTGACACATTGTCCAGTTTTAAGACTGGGCTTAAGACTTTCCTTTTTGATAAATCCTATAGTTAAGGTCATCTTATCATGCTGTCTTAAGCTTAGGCTACTGGAGGACAAATTGACCTCATTTATTTAAATGATTTGCTAAAATTGAATAGTTTTCATTTGATACTATTTCTATCTTAACATGTAATTCTCGACCTGCCATTGTGTATCTGTTCCTCCTTCCTGTTCCTCTCAAACCCAGCCGGTCGAAGCAGATGGCCGCTTGTCCTGAGCCTGAAAGGTTTCTTCCTCATGAGGGAGTTTTGCCTTTCCACTGTCGCCTTCATGCTTGCTCAAGATGAGTCTGCGATGAAGTTAAACTCAAAGCAGTCTGCTCCTCAGATAATTAATGTTATTAACTTACTTTTTATATATATTTATATGAATGTTTCTTCTGTTGTGACTTGGCGCTATATAATAAACTGAACTGAGTTGAATTGAATAACTAGGCTAACATTGAAAAGTACACATATAAAAGTGAACTCTAAATTGACAAATCATTTATTGAATAGTATGATTTTTAATGATATGCATTGGTAATAGCTGGAATTTCAGGCTATGACGATGGCTATAACTCGAAGTGGTTATTGTTCGTTTTGTGTTGGTTTACCGTGTTTTGTACAAGCTGTCAATCAACAATCAACTCTCCCCACTACGATGAATGAATAGATGTTAAAAAAACGGGTGGAACAGCTAATCATTGCAACTTAGATGTCGTATCTGACACTGTTTCTATTTCTAAACAACCAATCATAAATGATTCAAAATCTTTTCATGTCTGGAGTGAAGGGCTAAAATTTGGTACGCCTTTGATTAAACATCAGTCAGCTCATTTGACAAGCCTATACATGAGGGCATTTCAGATGCTCTTGACTCAAATGTCTTTAAATTTGATAACTGTGTGTCCTCCCCCCATATTTGCTGCCCTCTTTAACTGGGCTATCCCTCATGTCTGCTTGCTGAAGCGCCTGGGCTTTTGAGTCTGTGCTCTTCACTAATAAAGTTGTATATTTTATTTATGAGACAAACAGAAAACCCTGTTTCTTGAGGGGGTGTGTGTTAAATAGCTCTGCATGTCCAAAAAGTCTTCTTGATATCCCTCTGAGAGCGCTCGCTGCTTTTGGCAAGCCTTTGTTTTCATCTAAATACACTGAAGATACTGAGGATGAAAAAAAAGTCACTACATCTGAAAAAAAAAAAGAAATAGTACGAAGTCAAGATTTATCTTTTCTTAGAACGGATTCCTTTTTTTTCTTGCCTTAAATGTGACCTGGAAGCATCCTGACTTTTTTTTTTCTTCCTGGTCATTAAAAACTATATTGTTAGCAGTGAAAAGAAAAGAAGGGTTAAAAAGTGTTTCTGTGCCCTTTCTTTGTTCAGGATCTCTTTCTTTGAAATGTTTTTTTTTTTAAGTTCCACTTCCCATTGGTCAATTGCAGTTCTTAAGGGTTACTGTGTCACTGTGGATGGAGAATGCAACTTTGAATTACTGAAAAATAACGACGCTAAACTGCTCTTTGAAAACAAAAGGAAAGAAATGGCTCAGATGTTAGAGGAGAGTTGAGGTCTGTGGCAAGAAAAGCATTTACAGTATGACTTGAGAGTAATTGGAGAAACACTTAATGCTTTAATTATTCTTGTTTAAAAGTTGTGGAAACCATGACCAAAGACATTTTCATCGCAGTAGTTTGAAGCAGTAGCTGGATTTCAAGTTGCTGTTTTGTTTTTAGGAAGGACAATACATGGAACCTTTGTTGGGATATAAAAGCATACTAAATGGGTTTGTAAAAGAAAAACTCTCCCAGAGACTTTACAGTTTACCCAAGTATGGTATTACTACAACATAATGTTAATACAGATCTCTGGAGATCGTTTTGTGCAATGCAAAAATAAAGATCAACCCATAAAAACCAAGTTAATACACAACTGTTTGTGCAAACTTTGTCAAATTTGAAAAAAAAAAAAAACTAGAATAGTCTTGTAAAGAGCTACCTATTTTCTGTGCATCCAAGTTTCTTGTGTTGATATATTCTCGATTTGGCCTGAAGACGTTGCCATTTCAGGTTGTGCATCTGAGCGGTAGGCTGGTATCGACAGCAGAGCAGAGGAAGGGGTCGCGGATTAAAGACGCAGGGTGAAGATTCTCCACAAAACCACAAACACACCCCACAGCTGGTGCAGGCCAGGCCAAGTGTGTGGGACCAAGGCAGGATAAACGAGCATTGTTCTTACCTAGCCTCACACAGTGTGAATAAGACAGCCACCAGTGACACGGGGTCAAGGGGCATGCAGCCAACAACAGCAGGAGAAACCACTGGGCCCAGTAGGTACTGAACAATAAGCTAGGGCCCAATTCTTCCCCAAAAAGCACGCTGTGAGCCAAGCGGATGTAAAAGATGCATCTGGATAGAAGTAAAAAAAAATAAAAATAATCTGCTCGCTGTCGCAGAATTTGACACCGTCGAGAAACTGGAATCAACCGACATATTTGAATCAACATTTTTAAGCAGGGTGCGCGGATTGTGTTTATGAATTTGCGAATGCAAGTCACAGAGAACATCAAAAGCCTGTGGTCTGCGCGCGAACCTTGCTTGACTTGAATTATTAAATCTGTCGATGTCGCACGCACCAGCCACCCCGCGATTATAGTGTAAATTGACAAACTTTTTCAAAACTACAACGGAAGCCACAGAAAGCTGGTTGATACTTCAAGAATGAGCTTTGATATATCTCTGAGGAATACACTGCGCCTCAATAATGTGGTGGCTGTCAGGAAGGCAGACAGGAGGGGGTGAAAAAAAAAAGCATATGCTAACTGGTTAAATCTATTTAGGATCCCAATGAGATTTTTTCCCCCCCCTATTTTAAGATTAAGCCCAACTTTGATAATTACGGTGGGAAAAAAGGAGCTTGTGTGTTTTTAGATAGAAAAAGTGATGTTTTCATTTTCTTTCTTCTCCACTCCTGAATTAAGAACTTCAGGAAGAACGCTGACATTGTTTATTTTCATAGAATCCATTTGCGTTAAAAAGCACGACGCCATCAGCCCAACGCACTTGCATACGTAACACACACACACACACACACACACACACACACATATATATATATATATATATATATATATATATATATATATATATATATATAGATGCTTGAATTTTCCTCAGGAGCTGAGCTTGGAGAAGCAGCACCCGATATGCAGCCCGTACACTTCTCCCTCTCCCTTCCTGGCTCACCTTTGATGTGCTCCCGAAAATGTCATCAGGCGTCAAGGAAAGATTCTTTTTTAACAGTCCCCCCCACACACACTACCAACCCTCCAAACACACACTCACTGAGCACAAACACATCCACCCACCACGCATATGAGCAAGACAATTTGCTGTTGCTCACTCATCCTCACCACTATCTTGAACCCCCACCTACTACCTCCCCACTCTTTTTTTTCCCCTCCAATCCATAACAGAACACGTACCAGTCTCTACTGCTATCTGGTAGCCGGCCTCCAGTCTCCGGGATGACCTTTCCAGCTTCTCTGTGTTGTCCAACAGATGTGCTCTCTGCAATAAACAGAGGAGAGAAAAATAAGCAACTCTAGAAACAAACGGAAAATAAAAATCAATTGAGAGGGTTGGGACCCATTTCAAAGAAACACATCAACACCGTCACCTAAACAGACAGACCGCATCCACGGTGACAACATAATTCAACCAGCTTGCCAATAACCTTCATGGATGACAATGTTTTATATGCTGATGGAATATCAAGCAAATGCAGATGGAGGCTGACAATGAAAACAGTGCTGCTACCTCATCCAAGACATAAAATGACAAACTATTGCTTTACAACTATTTTTTTCTGCACAGAGAATAACTAAAGTGGTAAACAAATGAAGAGAATAACATTGAATCTAAAAAGATTTGTGATGAAGTGAAATACAAAATAAATGGAATTAATCGGAAGAAAAAGTGACGACAAAATGTACTGCTTTAAACGCCAACGTCTCTTCAATAAAATCCAATCCGTAACATATGCTAATGGATTAGCTGGATCTTGTAAATGTTTCCAATCACAACTGTGCATGGATAAATAAAATGTTACAACTGTGTTCAGAGCATTAAGAAACATTTTTGCTACTTATTTGATCAAATTAGTTGACGAAAATTGCAACTCATGTCCCACTTTGGGCGTCCTTACAACCATCAGCAGTTTAAAAGTATTTTACTAGTACAAAAAAGGAAATGAATAAAAAAAAACAATAATAATAAAATAGGCAATTTGATCCATTTATTTGAAAGTGTTTTTTTGTGTATCAAGACTGCAGTAAGTGTAATACAGTAGTCCCTCGCTACTTCGCGGTTCGACTTTCGCAGACTCGCTCTATCGCGGTTTGTGAATGTACAGTACATAATATTGCACAAAAAATTGTACAGGATACGTGATTGTCGACTTTAATATTACTCACGTGATTGGGACAGTACTGGATACTGTACTGTACAATAAAAATTAACAAAAAAATTAAATACTTCGAACAGATGCCGCCATTTTGTAGTTTTCTCTCAGTAAGCCTATACTGTATTCCCGCTCATAACGACTACATTTCCCAAAAGCCAACAGGGTCCCACCCAGAAGCCCCGGTTCCTTCTACTGAAATACTAAAGGGAAAGTTTTGATCTGATTGGAAAAATTTGGTGCTTATTACAGCGACTTTGGCACCCAGCGAACGCAGAGAGCGCCGAAACTCACCAAACCAGACCAGAACAGGAGCAGAACCAGACCTCCAGACACATTGGTGAATCTTGAGAGCTGGTAGCCGGCCCATGAGGACTTCAAGAGGGGACACGTGCTGCCAAAGATCTGGCGCTCCATCCGGAGCTCACCTGGACTTTTTTTCATCTCTTTCAACTGGCCCACAAGGACCTCTGAGCGGGGACAAGCTGGTAAGTAAAACTTAGAAGCTACATATAAGTATGATGCTAAAATTTGTAGGTTTAAGAGTTGCCAACATTGATTGTGGGCTTTGTCATTGCAGGGTATGTCTGCAGAAATGTAACAAAGTTGGACCAGATCAGAATCGTACCGGAACCAAGAGCCAGTCCTGTTCTGCAGAGCTTGGTAAGTAAAATTTAGTAGCTACATATACAGTACTGTACATATGATGTTAAAATTACGTAGGTTCAAGAGGTTAGAACATTGCAAGAGTGTGGGAGGAGTTTCTAAAGCCTTAAAATATATATATAAATACTAAAATAAATATAACGTTGCTACTTCGTAGATTTTCACTTACTGTGGAGGGGTTTGGAATTTAACACCCGCAATAAATGAGGGACTACTGTATTGTGAGTCTCTGAGCATTGACAGTTGATAACAGTTTATCCCAAGTAAACCTCTGATTTTAGTTTATAGTTGTAAACATTAATGATCTATAAGCAAAAAGAAAAAAAAAGATGTGCTGACTAAAGCCCACTGGTTTATATTTTAGATGGCGACTCCATCATATTTTATGGGCATTTGTGTCACATTTTCACTAAAAGACTGAAACAATGATGTAAACTGGGTCTGAACTGGTGACTGGTTTGTGACTGCTCTTATTTTTCTTTAAAGATAAACTGTGATTGTGACCATTTAAGTCTCTGATCTGAGCTTTGAAGAACTTTTGTGAAATAAATCAGTTAATTTGTTGAAAGAATAAGCAGTACATTTTAATATGAACTAAACATTTACTTAAGTCATTTGTGGCACAGATTGATAAATTAATATTTAAATATATTTAGACAACAACCTAAATGACAAAGGTTGCCTGTAAAGCATCCCATTGCAATATGTCCAAACCATTATGTGGTCTGTCTAATCTGACTTAAGTTATATTATTAGTTATATACAAAGTTTCTACCACTTACCTAAAACACAAATGAACCTTTAAACAAGAACAGCCTATGATTATCCACTATATTGAAGAAAAATGTGTGCAAGTTGAAACTACTGTAAGTTTTCATCAAACTCAAACACAACATGATCAAAAACTGAAACTTGGAAGAGTTAAATGTTTACTCAAATGTTGCTTGTTTTGATGGCTTTTCTAATGTGCCATGTTTAAAAAAAACTGATCGATTTGAACACTTTTGACAGTAAAAAGCAACCCATTGAATGACAAAACCCTCCTGACATGGTTTGATGCCCATCACATGAGCGAAGGGGACAGGGGAAGAACTGAAATCTCTAGTCTTGCTTGGGCTGTCAAAATGTGTACCAGCTAATCACTCAGAGGAAATGAAAAATGTGCAGAGAGAAAAAAAAAAAAAAAGCCAACGACACACTTTTCAAAGTTTGACAACAAGAGGGATGGGAACAGAGCAGGGAAGAGAAAACTCCCTCTGAACTCTTTTCCTTCCCTCTTTTCCTTTTTCTTTGTGTTGCTGACAGATGTCATTTAAAATCGCAGCGATAGTTTTAATAGTTAAAGGGAGGGCAAGGGGAGGATGGAGGGATGGGAGGACAAACGAGTGAAGAGATGGGGAAGCAAATGGTTTTGTGGTGGATGGAACGCGATGGTAAGATGGCGAGTGGGGCTGAATGGTTCTTTTGGTGAAAGGTGTGGCAGGGGGCCTTTGAAGAAGGGTTACATGTGGGTGTGGAAGTGGCACCAACATACATGGTGGCAGTGTGCTTATGGGAGAATATGGATACCAAGCTTGGGCTATAATGAGCCCCAATGGATCAGTTGAAATGGAGGGGACGTATTGACATGCAATGCTTACGCTAATACACCTAGACCATGGCTGCACTGTCTGTGTGTGCCTGGGAGCATGAAGCAGCCGGGGATACTGACAGAGCAGACGCACTCTCTGGGTTCTTCAAAGAGCTCAAGTGATTAGTATGTTATCATTACCATTCGAAACGTGATTTTCCTATTCCCTCTCGGCAAAGGTGACACGTCTCGGGGAGACGGCCGGCAGACTTGCTGCGATGGAAAGCCACTTCAAAAGCTTGCTCCTCCTGAATTTCTCTCTGTGTGTGTCTCTTCTCTCCCTCGTTCTGTCTTCTTTTAGGGGCCGGGGGGGAAAGGAGGGCGAATGTGGGTGGGTGGGAGGCTGTGCTGGAGGGTAGCGGTGGCAATGGCAATGTGTGTGTGTGTTCATTAGAATAATGCGTCCTGAGTTTGACAGTGAAAGAACCTGAAGGAAAGGATGAGAGTTCAGCCTCTAAGAATTCGGTAATGGCGCACTGTGATGGCCCTAATAACAGAACAATTCTACCATGAATACAAAAAGAAAGTAATCAAAATGAATGCATACAAATAAAACTAAGCAATTATACTGGCAAGATGCAGGAATTATAGTCTTGTAAATAAAAGTGACACAGAAAGCAAATCTTTAAAACATCTACGTCAGCAATTTTGACTATAGAAAAGTGTCAGATTGTTCCACTCCTTACAGTGCAAAAACATCAGAAATAGGGATTTATCCTTAAGAATTATTCAAACTAATTCACAAAAAACAACACTTATACAGGTGCAAGTTTTGACTTGAAGCTTACCGTCAATTACTCATTAAAAATTATATCAAATGATTCTTGATTGTCTTAAGCAGCCTTGAAGCAAAGCATTTAAATACAGTAAGTGATAAACATTGTGCAGCTGTGAGTGCACAGGTGTACCCCACCGCCGCCACCACTATATCTGCCTATGTATGCCTTTTCATCTGACACCTACATTTTGAACAAAGATCTTCTTAGGAACCACAAAAATTGTGTTTTTTTTGTTGTGCTCTTTCCGCGTCAAGAAAAACTCCTCAGTTGTAAGTTATTAAGAGGGAGCCCCAGAACAATGCAGCTGTAGCTCAAAAGAAATCTCTCTCCCCTCTTTCGTTCTCCTGCCTTTTTTCAATATCAAACACAGGCGGTTACTATCACCATTTTCCAAAGTTCAGATGATTTCCTTATTATTTCAATAAGGGTGGGGGAGAGTCAAAGTGAATAATGATGACAGCTGTGATTCAGACTGACTGTGTGATCTTCTGTGCCGTTTGTTTGGGACTTGTAAGACGAGGAATTACAAGTGTCAAACAGCTGTGAATATGGGTGCTAAATATTTAAACATGTTTTCAGCTGAAGGAAAAGAAAGTGTATTTTTTTTAAAGCAAGACTTAAGTGTGCATAAGCTTTGCCAGCCTTTGAATCAAATGTATGAAGAGAAGTAGGGTAAAAGACAGCAATGGCAACAAAGCGAAGAATCAAGTCAGATTACTTAGACTGGACTACTCGAAGAAAACTAGACAAGTGAGACAACTGAAGCCGTCTTTTGACCCTCAGGCGAGGAGAAAATGTACAGAAAAGGTGAGAGGTTAGAAGAGAAAATAAAAGTACAGCTGAATTAAGGCGAAAGGCTTGATAAAGTGGCATCTGGGTCAAAATTGTGCCATAAATTATAGATGGGTGGGAATAAAGATAGAATTGAATAACTGTGTTTGGGCAGAATTCCTTCTGAGGAGAAGAAAAAAAAATTACAACAAAGACTAAAGATGTGTTCAAACCAGGACAAGGTCGATGCCTTAAGAAAAGCCAAGGACACTTCTCGAACAAACGATTTCATAAACGTTACATTATGATGCGTTTAAAACACAGTGCAACAACTACACCAGCTTTTCTTTTCTAGGTGACCACAGTGCAAAGATGTTATTTACATGGCAAAGTTATTAAAAATTGCACTGCTGCACATCATGACGACAAAGAAACCAACACTGGTAGCTGCTAAGAATTTTGAGAATGAATGTACAAATTCTTAGATTTCTTTGTGTGTGTACATGTTTACAAGATTTTCACATTTTTTGCAACATCATTGCAAACTTCAGTTGACACATGGCAACATATACATTATGTTTATAGCATTCCTTGCTGACATTGCTTTATGAATACATTTCTTGTCTTAAATATGTGCAAATTGTATAATTGCCTTTGGAAACCTTTACTAAATTATGGCAATGAGAAAGTAGCATGTTGGACTGAGGCATTGTCAAGTGGTCAACTTTTAAGATAAATCTAAAGTTGTTAAAAATGTAGTGGCAAATAATTAAACTGAAGTTTAATATGAAGGCAAATAAAAAGAAAACAAAGTTGGAAATGATTTAAAAGAATATCCTGATTCATGCTCAATAATCCAGGTAGAAAAATCCAACGGTTTATTCAACAGGACCTTCACATGGTGGGTCAACCAGTTTGAAATGGTTGACCCACTCAGACCCACACAGAAACCAACTACACCATGTTTTTGCTATGTCCTTCGCTTGTTTTGTCTTGCTGTACAGTACTCTGATTGGCCTTGTAGCTGTTTTTAAGTGCTTTATAAATAAAGTGGTATGGTAGAAACTGTCCAGAGGACCTGACTTACCGTAACACTGTTGAATTTTTCTACCCGGACTATTGCGCATGAATCAGTATATTTTAAACCACTTTGGCCACGACTGCCTCAAACGTGTCGGCGGGGGAGAGGGCAGACTCCAGAAACCACCTGAGCACCATCAAACGGGTTGACCCACTATGTGAAGGTGCTACTTATAAGACTGAGTTTGTTGCAGCTCCTCGGCCTGATGAAGTATTTTGGATGAAAGATGAAACATTTCAACAAAAAGTAACTGTCCAGAGGATCTGACTTAACTTTGTTAGATTTAGAAGAATCTGTAGACAAACTAACATCCTTTCTCTGTATTCGACGTTATTAATGTGAATGTTCCTGCCACCTAATGGTGCAGCATGAGTATTTCAGCTTTTTTGTTTAAGCTCCTGCTTGACATCAAAACCAGCTTTTTTTTTTTATCTATACATAGTGTAGTTTGGCTAATGTAATACACAGTGTAATGACAGCACGGATGAATGAACCCACAATGATGCCCTGGTAAAATGAATGGAGGATTCACAACTTGACTGTGACTGATGTATTAACAGACAAGGGAAATGTAAACATTTAAGAACAAAATGGTGTTTGTAGCTGCACACACATTTTTGATTTAATTTTCTGGAGTCCCCTATTGAAATGAAGACAGGCAGATGTGGACCAGTTTTTCTGTATTTATTATCAGCATGATTTTAGACCTGAACACTTGCCTTGGGTGTTTTCTGTCAGAGAGGAGCTCCCGTTCATTAAAATAAAGCTCTAGCTCTATTGAGACAGAATAGAGATGCCCACAACAACTCTGGGGCCATTTCAAGAGGCAAGTTTTCACACAAATATTTTAAACATGTTCAGAACTCTAGCAGCAAGGTTGCACCTCCATGCAACTCAGGCAAGAAGGTTGAGAACACCACAAATTCGCATTGGCATATTTTGGCCAGTCCTGTATGTCATAGACGATTCATTAGGATTTGAGAAAATTTCATAGTTCAATTCAGTTTATTTTTTTAAAGGTCAATTCATAAGAAAGGTCATCTCAGGACACCAAATAAAACCATTCACGTACATTATAAAATGTTATGTAGTAAAAGTTATCTAACTAAGGAGGCCATCAGATGGTAGTAAATCTTCACTTCGTCACAATCTCTCATTCTGAGCAGCACATTTGCGACAGTGGAAAGGAATGACTTTATACTTTGACTCCAATTCCTTATAACAGGAAGAACGGGAAGGTCCCAGCAGTTCTTCCCTCGATTTTATCTTGGAATGGTACTCCTATTGAGTTTGTTGATACCTACGAATACTTGGGTATCTTGGTCAATTCGCATCTCTCGTTTAAGCTCCATGTAGAAAACTTGGTAAAGAAACTGAAAGTTAAACTGGGTTTCTTTTTCAGAAATAGATTCTTTTTAACTGAATGCTAGAATGCTAGGAAACGCCTTGTAACTGCGACTTTCCTTCCCTCTATTGACTACAGTAGCATTATGTACATGAACAACCCTACAAGCACCCTGCAGATGTTGGACACCGTCTATCATGGTGCGCTAAGCTTCATAACTGGCTCTAACTATCATACTCACCACTGCACCCTGTATTCACTGGTTAACTGGTCATCATTAACTTCACGCAGACTCTCTCAATGGTACATTTTCATCTTTAAATCACTTCTTGATCTGTCGCCTTCATACATCTCCTCCTACATGTCACTTTGTGAGTGCAGCTACAGCGTGCACTCTCAGGACATAATTACTTGCAGTGTCCCCTCAGTTTGGACTGAACTAGGCAAAAGGGCCTTCTCTTACTCCACTCCTGTATCTTGGAACACCTTGCAAAAAGATCTGAAGCTCTCGTTTTTAGTATTTTACACCACTTTACAATCTAGCTGTTTTTGTTTAGTTCTTTAATACAATTTTCTTTAATTTTTCTTTGATTTATTCTTCTCAATTTACTTGTTTTCTTTTATGATTGTCTATTGTCATGGTCTACTGTTGTCATCGTTCTTTGTTAAAAAACAGGTCCCTCTTGTAAATGAGTCCCTGAGGCTCAATGAGACTAACCAGTATAAATAAAGGTTGAATGAAAAAAACGAACTCTCCAGCAACACCAGGCTCAAGACAGACATCCATCTGTCTCAACCGGCTGGGTTTCAACTACTTATGGAATAATGATTTATTTCAAAAAGATAAATATGTTAAAAGAGCCCATTAAAATAAAGTTAAAACACATCAAACTTCTATCACTTCTGCTTCTAACAAAGTAGTTCAGTATTTGAACTGTGTAGCATTTAATTAAATGAATATACTTTAAGCCTTAGATGAAGTATTTGTTTTCAGAAAGGTTCATCAGAAATAAAAGCTAGTGCAGGAACATAAACTTAGCTCGTTGTGAACTTATTTGACCTTTAGCCTGTTCAATCAGAAGCTCAAAGAATCCAAATGAGCTTTTTTCAGTTTTCAACAGAAGAGGGCAAATGAACATTTTTAGTGGGAAAGTTGAACATAAATAGAAAGCGAAGCACTTACCTCTTCACGTAACTTTATCAACTAGGCCATGATAGCAAAAAAGGGAGAAGAGAGAAATATGGAAAGAGTAAAGGACAGATACTAAAGTAGAAACAAAGCAGCAGGACAATCATTCGTGTGGCTAGAATGCAGAATTAACCTTGACAATGTATCAGTTTAAATGTTTAGCATTTGGAAAGAACAAGACAAATGCGTTAAACTAAACTAAACAAGCTGCTCAGGCTGAATTTTCTGAACAAACAGAGATCAAGTCCTGCTGCTGTCACATTAAACAAGGAGAGGGATTGGATCGCTCCGCTAGAAGCATCAGCTAACATTCAAAAGAAAATCACATCACAGGAGCCAGTACAGTAGGAGAAAAGATAAAATGAGGAGGATATAGTTTTTACAGTATGTTGAAAATGTTAGGAAAATATTTTTATTTGTCATTTTACTCAATTCTTGAGAAAGAGATAAAAAGAAAAGCACGTTCTTTTGGAGGCGAGTTATAGAGATGCTGAGGCACAGTTTTTGTGCCTCTGTTCATCCATTGCTGATGGGGTGTCAATATTTAATGATACTTTTTAGTAAAAGTACATGCCGTTCAAATTACTTATGGAAAGCTACATGACGCTACACAAAGAAACAAATGAATATTATTGGGATAGTCACAGTAGATGAAAACTGGACCTTAGCATAAACATTTTTCATGATAAAAAATATCGGATGCAAAGATGAAATTGTCTATTGAAAAAAAAAAAATCATGCATCTTTAGTAAAACAGACATCTTAAAATTAAAATAATCATATTCCCATTAGAAATTAAATATGTCCATTAAAATAAAAAAATTAAAAAGTTACCCATCTGGGGTTCTCTTATAAGGTGAAGTTGAAGAAAACAAACAGGTAAATTCTGTGAATCCTACATATTTAACAACCAAAAAAGTTACATTTACTGAAGTTTGGCTCACAAATGCACACTGTTGTATTAATTTATGATCAGTTAAGGAGAATAAAAGTTCATTATAAACTTGACAGCAAACTTTGAGACTGATACAGCTGGAAGAGGGTCCAGAAAACACACGTTTGTATTTAATTAATAAAATAATTCTCATTTTAAACTTGCAAAAAACGTATATATCATGTGAAATGCAATAAAATCATCTCTTTATATATCACTCTAAATGACCGTTTGACTTTGATATTCCCTTTATCTTTAAAATATACAGTCAACTCATTTACATATTGTGTATATAACAATAAATATAGGATTAATGGGTACCACTTTATAATAAGGTTCCCCATTTAGATGACTAATAAACAGTTTCTAGATATGTTAATTCCTCTATAAACACGTTATAAATCAATAATAATTATTATGCATTAATTAAGGGTGACAGAGACAAAACTGATCAGTTTCTTGCCAAATAGTGAGTCAAATCTGTTCACCTATATATTTCATCTAAAGTTGTTATATTAATCATTTCAGACTAAGTTACTACCTTGTAAGCACAATAAGCATTTGTAAACCCAAATTATTTAGGATATAATATTAGTTGTAAATACTTATAATGCAGTGATAAAGTACAATATTATATGCTAAAAAATAGGTTTACAATTACTTATTGTGCTTACAAGGTAGTAACTTAGTCTGAAATGTTTAATATAACAACTCTAGATGAAATATATAGGTGAACAGATTTGACTCACTATTTGGCATGAAACTGGTCAGTTTTGTCTCTCTGTCACTCTTAATTATTGCATAATAAGCAATTATTAATGATTTATAAAGTGTTTATAGAGGAATTAATAATGTATCTATAAACTATTAGCCATCTATAAGGGGGGCCTTATTGTAAAGTGGCATCAATGTTTACGACAAAAACCCTCACAATATAAAGTTGTGCACAAAATATGATCCTGTAATTTTTGAAGAATCTAAAAACAGCTCTTACATCATTTTTGTTGATAATAGAAATATGTCAATAGTACTTCACTGGAACGCTGGAGAAAATACATAGTCAATATTTGAAACGTAGGAAGTAAACAAGTATAGCTGCACAATTTCTAAAGAGTTCTTACCCTTGAAAATGTTGCCGGTGACAAGACGCACTTTAGAGTGGAAAGTGTTTTTATTTTTGTTTTGTTTTTTTTCTAAGCTGAGCAATAACTCCCTGCTAAGAATGCATTATTGAAAAGGCCAAAGTTGAAAACGACACTGTGAATGTGGTGGTTTTGGGTCTGGGATCCCACACCCCAGATTTGGCATCAGTCAATGGATACCAAACAAAACTTGTTCTAGCTCATTTGTGCTGCCTGACTGATTGCAAGTCCTCATGGAGGCTTGATTAAAACCATACAAGGCATATACTGAGCTGTCATTTTTTCCTGCTTCTCCCCATCTTGCTTTATTTTTCTTTTCTTCACTGCGGACAGCGATTCTTGCGTTGCTCAAGAGATATCCAGCAGTAAATACGGTATAATTACTCCTACATGAGCGCCTTCCTCTCTTGTGTTTTTGTGATTTCAGCCAGTATTCAAAATTGCACTGCTGCAATTTTTCTGTTATGATAATCAGCAATTTTTTTTTCTCCAAACAAAAAGATTTTTTTATTTATTTTTTTTTATCCAATACCGAATTCGATACAAGTGGTAATCTGTTTTCTTTGTAGCTGTAAAATCTGGTCCACGCCGGCTCAAACCAGCACAATCTCTTGTGGCCAAGCCTTCTGCTGTGACTGAAATCGAAACTATTCCTTATAGTGCTCGTGTGTGGAAAAAAAACGGGTATGCATTTGTTGCTGTGTGAGTGCGAGTGTGTTGCTATTTGTGTGTGTTGCATGCAAAAGGAAAAGGGAAAATTGTGCAACGGTGGCCTACCACATTATAAAAAAAAAAACTGAGTGATAGTGCCAATTCAGTCTCTGTCCGCATACAGATAACGAATAAATGCCGAACTCTATTAAATCGTCCTTTAGCCATTATCGCAGGGCCAACACGCCAGTTTTAGAACTTATGACGGCTCCCTGTTTACTTAGCAATAAATCCTTGCCATGTAACCAACAGATTTGTGACTGGTAATGATCTGTTCAGCCGAGGCTATATGAAATGATCCCAACCTCTTTAAGATCGTCAGGAATTAAATTGACCGACTTGCCCGAGCCCCCACCATCTTTTCCCCTTTCCTATCGCTGCCGTCTCGTTAGATTAAAAAAGACCATGAAGTTCCGAGTACTCCACTCACAGCAACACCAAGACATTATCTCGCAAACTTTTAAAAAGAAAATGAAGCAACCACGGCACCTGGAAGGGAAAGATTTAGATCCTCGATTTTTTTTTTTTGCTTTTTCCGCCTGCCTGAACTCTTTTGGTGTATGTGAGTATTTTGGAACGAATTATACTTTTTTTTTTTTTTAAAGCAGAGGGATTTGTTTTGATCCATTTTTGTTTTATTATTATTGTTATAAATTTACCCCAAAATGTATATTTTCATTTTATTTATTTATTCAGACAAAACTAATAAAAATGTGTTAAATTTTTTTCATATTTTTTGAAGCACATTTACCTATAAATATAAAACATATCCTAATGTAAGAATAGTTTATTAAAATTGTTAGGTAAAATTTACAAGCTGCAAAATACTTTTGTTTATTAATTAATCAATTGTGTATTTGGTATTAAAAAAATAAGTAATGACAAAACAATAAGAATATAAAAATTATTGATTTACATTTTAGAAGATGGATAAAATAATATACATAAAGTTACTTTAGTTATTATAATCAATATTAGTATGAATTTAATATATTTACATTAATAAAACTGAAATTTAAATAATCTAAAATTAGGAAAATAAATACAGCTGCGTTTTTTTGTTTCAAAGAATGCAAAGTACAAAATTTATTTATGTATTATTTTATTTATATGTATGTGAATCTATTTTAATAAAGTGGTAAAAAAAAATGGTTCTGGTTTGTGTTTTTGCTGTGACAACATATTGATAGAACCCATCATCAGTTTGTTACGTGTGGCATTTCTGACAGCAAATCCCCTCCTAGCTTCGGCATAAAAATGTCAGAATCACTTTCGAGTCTCGCTAATTTGCCAAGAATATGCATATCAATAACAAATCTCAGCTCGTGCTACATATGTCTCTAAGATGTGCAGTTCAGGGGTCAGCATTGAAATGATAATAGGGGGAAAAAATAACAAACAACTTTGTTTAGCTTTTCTCGGTTGTGAATCATCTAAACATACTCCCAGAAAACACGGTGGGACAAAATGTGAATTATGCATTTGACTGTCCTTTCTTGCTTTCTTTTTGAGCGTGTGCATTTATTTGCATGCGAGCACGCAGGACTGTGCGTGCCTCGAGACTTGCGCGGGCTGACAGCTGAGTCGAAAAGACGAAATATAATTAGTCAAAAGACGTTTGGTCAGAGTTGAAAGTGGTTTGTGTTTGAGTGGCAGCTGTGCAGCAGGTAAGTGTGTCGTAAATGTCAAAAAATATTTAAAATCATTTACAGAGTGTAGTTTTGATTTTAAATAACCTAAGCCATATTTTACACAATTAGGATCTAAAAATCAAGAGGGCTTTTGTTTATGTTTAGATTTTTTTTTATGTCAATTAATATACTGACTATTAAGAAATTCATTAAGGTGGTATTTATATGTCAAAATTCCACTGAACTACCTCCTCGTTGTTTAAATAAACAAGAACAATTCGACTGTAATAAGAGATCAAATCCATAAAGATGTCAAAAAGATTTTGAGTGTCATTGAATTTCTTTGAAAAATTACTGAGACATTTAATAATTTTTTTTTTAATGTTTGAGCCCCAATAACATATCTGCAAATAAATAAATGAGAATTTTTATCAAGACTGTGTTTATTTGGTTGTCAGTATTTTTGAGCATTGATCGTGAGAATCTGCTATAGACCTAATTCGGCTCCCAGCTGGAGAACAGCTGTTGGACGGTTGGAGGGACTGGGATTTTTGGATTGAAATATGTGCTGAATTGTGCCTCTTTTTTTTTTTTGGTGTGCATGTCACAATCTGGCTTTGGCCAGACACTGGTCTCATGCCCCGAGCCTACTCACAAGCTGGCCAGCTTTGCATTAAACAGTGTTCCTTCCACATGACTTGGTGACAATAGTGTTGCTTCGGCTTTCGATGGCCCCTGCGAGGGGCCCACCTACTCACCCCTGGGGGCCAGTCAGCCACCCACACTGGCGTTGTTCGGGTCCCTGATTAGCGCCTTACCTGGCTCTCGGAGGAGATGGCGTCATCTCCCAGAAGCTCGTTGCGCACCTCATCACTGTAGGCGATGCGCGACCTTTTCTGCAACGGGGGGGTGGGGGGGGGGGGGAAGGACAAAAAGAAGAAACAGAGGGGAGCAAAAAGAGAAAACAAGTGGGGAAAATATGTTTTAGTACTACTGTTCATATAAAAAATAAAAAAAACATAACATAACATGCATTCCTTAAACGCGAGAGCCCCCTAATGGAGCACGGTGACAAGCAGAGTCCTTCGCGTACAGCTTGTGTGTATTTGTGTACAACTTGTAACGCCACGCTGTAGTATGGGTTTATGCTCATGCCTCCATCCAGGGTGATCTACTACACACAGTGTTCTTGTGGCACAAGAGTGGGACAAATAAAGACCCCTAACACCATCTTGCCCACTTAAACAAATACAAGTTGAGGGATAAAAAATAAAAAAAACAGCATCTTGTGTGCATGGAGAGGCTGTGGAGCAGGGGGACAGGGGAGAGGGCCAGGGAGATGTATTATGAGGAAGTATCACTTGTCAGTGCTAAATCTTTTCGGGGGGGGGGGGGGGCTGTCACTGCTGTCATCCCAGTGCACTGGCAGCCTCTGTGATAACACCAATGCTGTGACTTAGACAGGGAATAATTCATCACCCATTGGCGGCCCATCGGATTTAGGGTTGCCTCTCTCTTTCTCTCTCCCTCACACACACAAACTCCCTTTCTTTCTCTGTCTCGAGCTAGGATACAATGCAAAGGAATGCCATGTCCCACAAAAAAAAAAGAGAGAGAGAGAAAAAAAAACACCCAAAAAGACAAACACACATTTCATGCAGACTTCAAGAGTGTGCCACCTCCGATTGTGGTAGACTTGGCTGCCACTGTACTACTTGTTTACAGACGCCCGACCCGAGGAAAAACAGCCTCTTGGCATGCCCTCTAAACTAAACACACACCAGCAGCAGACAGAAGGAGGAAAAAAAAAGTGTTTACTAAGCCTCCTTCGCTTTCTCTCGCTGCCTTAACAGAGTTTCTAGTTGGGCTGAGGGAGGTGGGCAAAATCAAAGAAACACCAGCAGACGAGTGAAAATATCAGTTTCCCTCCACACAACTTATTTACATTTCTTAATGTATAATTTACTTGTTTTATAAATGACTCAAAATAAGTAGTAGTTTATTTATGCAGGATATTAAAATGAAATCGGGAGAGCGAACAAAGAAACCGCAAAAAAAAAAAAAAAAAAAAGTGGTGAACGTTCGCCAATTAGCTGGTGGAGAATTCCTTCCAGTAACGGAAAAAGTTATAAAAAAGCTGTTGTGATAGGTACATACTTTCCAAGAGAAAAGCACGAAATAAACTTGAAAAAGCCCAATCGTAAAATCTAAAATGATGATATGAAGTGCCTTCAGTGAAAACCAATCACAAATCGAGCCAGCCGAATTTGTTTCCCTCTCGTTTTTTATTTGTCCTCATAATCTGGAGCACTGACTGGAAAGTCATGGCTGATGTGATTTGGCTGTTATTATCATGATGGTGCGGGCCACAGCTCTCTGGAGTAATTACAGACTAGACAGAGGCCCTGATTGACCCAGACCACAAAAACCCATTAGATAAAGAGAGCACCCAAACAACACTCAACCACGGGGAGCTAAGCCAACCGCTGAACACCCACTGTGGGGAGGGGGGGAAAAAGGAAATCGGCAGCATAAACTCAAACCAACCCACTCAAAAACACATAAGACACAATGTCAAATGTACCGTATAGGTTAAATTTATTTGGAGATTTTGTCATTTGATGTTTATTACTTTAATTCTCAATTACATGACAGCAAAATCTAAAAACCTCTAACAGCCATACGCTCAGTGACCGCAAACGTTTTTGTTTTCCTTTTTTTAAAGCGCGTTCTGCTTAATTTCCTTTAGTCAGGAACGTGCGTGCTTTTAAATAAAACACACACTGCAAACAAATATAAGTGATTACGTTTTATGATAAGTAGTAAATATATGCGTTTTCCTTTGGAATAAAATGCCACAGCTCTTTTAAGCGCCACCTTTCGTCGGGAGGGCAACTCGCTGGTCACCGTGCTCCTGTTTGCGAGACCATTAAAAGTCATTTCGGATTTAAGAAAAGAAAAAATAAACAAGTGAAACGAGAATAAAGGCGAGATTAAGGTGGCGCGTACACGAGTACATCAGGCGCACAAACACACCTTTTGCCAGGGAAGAAAATACTCCCACACATTCCATTTAAGTCAAGTTTCATCTTAAAGAGCTGCAGTGCAACTTAGGGGGAAAGACGACTTCTCCGGTAATTGAGACGAAGAAACCTGGGAGAAGCATTGATTTGAATGTTGCGGCTTACGTCGCCTTCAAACCATATGCGTTTTTTTTGTGTGTGTTGTTTTGTAATTCTAAATAGCTGTTTGTTACGGATGAACGTATGAAGGGGTTTCTGCAATGAGAACAGAGCAGATAACAAAGAGAGTATGAAGAATGGAAAATGTCACTGAAATGAAAGTGTTGCTGCTGCTTCCCCCTGTACAGTATGCCCTCAGTTTTTTGGATTCCCCCTCTGGAAAACAACAGATTCCTGAGCGATTGCTGCGATCCCTTTTGATGTAAAATATAAGCAGGTGCGATGCCGCCTTCTTCACACGGCAACAAATTTTGATTATAAGTTTGACGTTAAATCGAATCACAAGAACTTCTCATTAGAGGTCAAGAAATTAGAGATCGGTTACGCGTTTCATAGAATCTCCTACAAGAAAGAAGGTAAAACTGACTTATGTTACAGTACGTGAAGACGAAGTTCTGAAAATTAGGACAAAACCAACTATCTGGTTTTGTAATCTAAAAAAGAATAAGCGCTTTCAGAAGACACCTTATTGCTCAGATAAGGAAGAAGGGGGAAACAAAGCTTTTTTTAATCCTTTTGAAAGGTCTGTCTTGTGTCACTTTTTTTTAATCTTGAACGAGAATTTGCTTCTATTCCCGGAAGCACGCATGAAAAGCACAAAGGCACATCTTAACTTTATGCAAAGTGGCCTGCCTTTAAAACTGCACACATTCCGTCAAAAGCGGCGACGGAGGTGCTGGTGTCCTGTCAAAAACACGCGTTTTACCTCTGTCGACATGAAAGCTGACAAAAATTAATTAAAAAAATAAAGCCGCCTTCTTTGCCCGTCAAAATGCAATTACGTATGCATGAGGAACAATTCATATCAGATATGCAAATCAGCTCAGCATAATCCTCTAAGAAATAAATGATATTAATCTAATTTTAATAAATCTATGGATCATTTCTTCCTGTACAGATATTTTATTGTTTGTGGGCATGTGCATGTTTAAATGGATATGATTTGCTGAAGTTATTTATAAACAATTTGGTTAAAATCAGAATTAAGAATGCACAATTGTAAAACAATTTTCAAATTTCCTAACCTTTGTGATGTAATAGACAAAAAAATAAATAAATAAATAAATAAATCTTGTAATTAAAATTAAGCCAACTCAGATTTTGATAGCTTAATTCAACGACCTCCAGTTCTCCTCCTTGCTTCCCGCCTCGTGCAACCAGTGACACGAGAACAAGTCGAATAATTGTGGCGCTTAGAAAGCAAGGTGGGTGGGGGGAGTAAACAGTTCATTAGATGGGAAATAAAAGGCATAAAAATACCCAGGGGCAGAGTGTAATGAGGGGCCCTGAAGTTCCTCTGTCCCTCCACTCTCCCAAGCTTTTCCCTTTTCACCCTGCGTACACGGCTGGTGGCATAGCAGGAAGAATAATTAACTATATTCAATTTATAATACTATGTTCCACAACGGGCTCTTTCTTTCAGTAAGCGAGCAGCTGGGTAAGTCAGATTAAATAACGCTTATGTCCAGCTCAGTGCGATCGCAAACTGGCATTTGGGCTTTGATTTTTCAACCGTTTCTTCAAGAAATTGGAAATAAATACTATGGGCATAATATGCAAAGACATTGAACACCAGAAAACTTGTTTTTAGGGGATAATAAACTACAGCCAAGAAGAACGTTAAAAAAATAAATAAATAGGTCAGCAAAACGTCTTTGTTCGCCAAAACGTGCGCTTAACTGAAAGGTTATCTAGATGACTTCTTCTCCTCCCCAGCTGTGATTTTCTCAGGTGATGTGTGGACCAGCGCCAGCAGGTCCCACTCTGGTTTCCCCACATGTGGGGGCAGAGGTTGACTGACGCGGCGTGGTGTTTAAAGGAAGCGGAGACCTTTAAGCAGGCACAAGTATCACAACAGCATCTTAAATAATGCATCCCTGGTTGGCAGGGGTTTAATGCGCACATGCACCCACAGTCGGCACAAAGGAAAACACGGAGCCGTCGTCTTGCATCTTCCCCTCTGCTTTAATTCAAACAAATTTAGAGAGGGCTGTTGTATGAAGTGTTATTTGTCAAAACATGTGATATATTAAGAGACAAAGCGAAGCAGCTAAAGCTTGGGATTGTCACAGGAGGGTGTCATTTGAGCCTTTTGCTTTATTGTGGTCTTTGGTGCAACTGAATCCTTGAAATGCGTCCGCTGTGCGTTTGTGCGAGTCCCTGCGTGCGCACGAGGGCCACCGTCTGTAAGATGGAGCCTTTGCATCCCGAGAAAGCCTCCTTTAAAGGGAAGGATGCGTGCAACGTGCGAACAGTATACCCCGGTGTGTGTTTGCGCCGCCAACAGAAACGCCGCAGTGGCAGAGAACAGCATGGGGCCTCTCATTAGCTCGCAGGTTGGCGCTCTGGTGGCGTCTGCACGCACTGTATTGTGTTCTACTTCCACGAAATACTTCAAAAAGTCTCCAAGAGGCGAATGTCATAAACACTAATAAAGGTGAAAGATCAACTACAAACACGTGATAGATGATTGCTGCATCTGAACAGAGGTGTGGAGAAAAAACAATTTACGGTTCTGTCGGCTTTAAAAAAAAAAAAAAAAAGATTTTTATCAAAATAATAAAACTTAATTTAAAATAAATTAGGTTTACATTTGCAAACGATTAAAAAAATCCGAAGCAATCTGTAGAAAAAGTCAAACAAAAATGAACTGG